GCCAAATATCTGTAACGAATAGATCATCAATTTTGTTCAGCGATGCGGGGATAATCTGAAGTTATGACCTTTTCTTTACTCGACGTTACGGTGCACGAGTCTAGGCGAGCAATAGAATCGATTCGTCGCGATTCCCCCAAATCAGCATTTTCAGCAGAAAGACAAGTTTTGGATCCTTTATTTTGAATCGTATCGATTGGAACGACTGAATCGTTATTAATTTTTCCATATTACTTGAACAATGTTCTGACTTTTTTTTTAATGATTCAATAACTTCTCTTGTTTTCATATCGTACCTTTTTTTTTTTTTTATTGATCCTTATCATCTACAATGTTAGTAATATTTCTTGGTGCTTAATTTTGATCATACCAAACATATAGAAATTAGGAATTTAAAATATATTTTTAGACATTTCGATTAATCAATCACTTAGCGTTTTATCGTTTAAAGGTGATTCCAAGTTTTCATATGGCGCGCGTTCAACAACCTGTCCTTCGGATATACCATTTTCAACCGTCGCACTTCTAATGGGTGCAACGGCTCGTTCGGCCGCCGGCCATCTGTCGTAGAGTGAAAATGGTTTGTCGAAATTAAAGTCAGCTAAGCGAAAGTAAGAGAGATCTTCGTATAAGATATAAATATATTTCGGTTTTATTATGTCATTTGAAATTTTTTCATATTTCGCAATTTTTGCGATTAGTTCGCTTTATCAAATAGTATGACAGTGGAACAACGTGGAAGAATACTGTAATGTGTTGAGCGAGAACTATGGTATATTTTTAATTTTCTGAAACAGTACTCTTGTCACAAGGGTATTAAATTAATTTGATAACTTTGAGGACGATCACATACACGTTTTTAGGAAACACAATAAAATTCTGAAACTTTGTTCATTCCCAAGAAAAAATCCTACCGCAAGTTAACCGTTTCTCTTTTACCTGGTGCGTGTTCGCACTGTGATTATACTGAGTTTTTTTACGTGTAACCGAAATTGTGCTAACCGCAGATACCGCCGTCGGTTGCCATTATAAACGGATCGAAAGGAAGTTGGAATCAGTTATCGTCAAGGAGCTTTACTGTGTTAAAGAATATGACAGATCCTAATTTTATTATGTGATGAAAAAAAAAAAACCTGGCCGCAACTAATTTGATCAGCTGATGAGAGTAGAACATATGATTCAGGGATTTTACTTTCATAATAAAATTATTTTAATAATAATTCATATAGAAGTCTATTTGTTTCGATCATTGAACAAGCATGAGCTTTTTGGCAAAGTCGAAAGGAACCCACACGATGCGTTTGACACTTTTATCGCGTGCACGCTATTCGGGACATAGTGTATACAACGGATACGTTCAACACAAAGCAAGGAAAAGAGAGAGAAAGAGAGAGAGAGAGAGAGAAAGAGAGAGAGAGAGAGAGAGAGAAAGAGAGAGAAAAGAGGGGGAGTAAAGAGAAGGACGTTCGACGACGCGACACTAGCGAATCCTTTCATTGGCTGTGCGCGAGAAGTACGAACGGCGGCCTCTACGGAAATCCGGAATTTTTTTATTTTACATTCTTTCTCATTCACTCCTATTCGCCTCCTCCCACTACATGTTCCAAACGACACTCCCACTCCCGTCAAAGTGGTCAATGTGATTCTTTCCTTTGATCAAACGTGTCTTCGCAAAAAGGAAAAAACGACAAATACAATATCATCTTTGATGGCAAACTTTAATTTTAACAGGAACATATATTTTGTATCAACTTCAGCAGCCTTTTTCTCCTTATCGTGAAATTCGCATCTGCCTGCTTATAGTTATGAGGTAGCGAAGCTATATTCGAAATATTTGAATTAGCTTATCGTCGGATCGCTGACAGCTGCCGGTGAGGCGTCGCGCGTGCTTCTAATTACTCGATCTAGATCGGTCGATCCTATGAAGATCTTGAATGGTTAATTTTTCGAATAACGAGCCTATCTTACTAATAGGAAACCATAAAAAGGTTTCAAGTAAATGTTCCTTCAGAAAGAAAATCATTATCGATCAAGATCCTCAAATGTTAATTAACGTCCTTCTTATTACATAGATCATCACTGATCGATATCAATTTCTTTGTATGTTATTCGATAAGATCATTTTTAAGAATCGAATACAAAAGTGCATTTATTTGCATTTCCATAAAATTATTTGTAAATTTGTTATTCTGGCTGATATTTTCAAGAATACAATATTGATTTTTCATAACCTATAGAGAATTGTTTTGCATAAAAAGAGAATATTGGTTCATAAAGGAAAAAAAGTGAGAGCGTTGTTTGCGGTAGGCGCAAAATTCCGAGGATGAGAGACGGCCAGGACGTGGCAAAAATCGTTCGTATTTTTTAAGATCCCGACGTTGAGATAGTGTCGTCGGACCAGTTTGGCAGGCGCGGCACGCGTTTCGACGCGGCGTTTTTTAAATAATTCATAGGAGAAAGAGACGATCGGTGGTGAAGACCTGGGAGGGACAAAGATCTGGCAGAGGAGAAGGGGGAATCACGCATACGCATAAAGCGAACGAAAAATGTCGTTCCTCCACTGTGGAAGTGTCCTGAGAATTCCGAAAATTAAACCGAGTCTTGTGAGTAACTAAGTAAACCTAAATTTCTTCCTAAGTAAAAATTTCAAATTTAATTTATCGTTGATTATAATTCTTTTTCTGCATTACCAACTGAGAAAAAAGCGCGGGAAATGTTTACACAATTTAAAATTCGTCAGTTCCGAAATTCCGATAGATACTTTTTTTCGGTTCGGGAGGTTTCAGGAAAGATATGAAAGTAAAAATAAAAAAAAAAAAAAAGAAAAAAAAATAAAGAACGGAAGAAATGTTAAACAATTTTCCTTTCGTAGAGATTGAAATCGCCTTATCGATGATGCCGTGGGTTTAGCGCATCTATTCGCACCGTGGAATTCCTACCGTCGTGGCATCACTCGAGGGGTGGAAGACGAGTTATGTGCGTCAGGAAAAGGACAAAGAGAGAATTTCTTTGCTTTCACGATTAATTACGCCCTCATTCCCGCCCCAAGTGCGGCTCTTTCAGCGATGCATCGTCGATATTGACATTTGCCTTGCTTACCTTTCTCTCTCATATCTTTTCTCTCTCTCTCTCTCTCTCTCTCTCTCTCTCCCCCCATAGACACAAATACACACACATACATATAGACATGTACATGCACCAGTCATTCTTCTTCTTCTGCATTCTTTTCAACGCAGAGGAATAGCAATCGGAGGGGTGGTAGAGGTAGTAGAAGAGAAGGTACACAGAAGAGAGAAAGATGTGCGAAAAAGGTGGCATGGGGGTGTGTGAAGGGAGAAAAAGTGAAAGAGATATATAGAAAGAGAGAAAGAGAGAGAGAGAGAGAGAGAGAGAGAGACGTAGAGAAGGAAGGAAAGAGGAAAAGAGAGAAGGGAAAAAGCGGGAGAGTATTATACAGGGACACACCCCTATCTTTGAAGCGTGTACTTATCGACTGCACCGACTACTACGCTTCTTTTTCCTCCGTAGTTCATCAAGACAGACCGCTAAAGGAGAGCAGGTAGGTTGGTAGGTAAGGTAGGTTGGTAGGAATGCGTGTATAAGGGAATTAGACCATAATCGTCCACGCGTATGCCGCGAAGAAGGGGACGTTTAATTTTCCGCCTACCTTGGACCTCGATGTTCACTCGCTCGGGGTGCCACCTTCATGACATACGTTTTCTCTCTCTTTCTATCTATCTCTCTTTCCCTTTTATCTTATTGATTATTTCTCATTTTTTCTTATACTAGCTGATGATGCCCGTTAAAATGTATAGAATTTTACGTTTTATCTTCGATATCTTCATGTGTGTCAGAAATATTTACTTTTTCGTTCTTTCTTATCAATATGTTTTATCGTGATGTAATTGTTATTCCTTTGAAATACATTTTGATCGCTTAATTAAAAGATCAAAAATGTTTATGATATTCGGGAGGTTTATAAATTAATTTAATTAAGAATAAATCGAACGAAAATAACTTTAAATATTTTATGGTCCTCATGTAAATGCAACCTGAAGGTCTTTCATTATCGCTGAAAGTAATTTAATTTTAGGAGTAACGGGCAAAAAAAAATCAATTTTGTTTTATTTCGTGAGCGCCTGCGCTTGAGTACTTCGTTCCTATTAAGTGGAGGATTATCTTTTGCTGGCTACGTCGGTAAGGAAGTTTCAGTTCTACAAACATTGAAAAACTTTACTAAGGCTAATAAATGTTACTCACGTCCGATGGTCGATGTCGTTTTGCGCCATCTACTGATATATTAGTACGTCGGTATGATACTTTGTTTTAGCAGAGACGATAATGTAGATTTCTGTAATAGTGGCATCAATATATAGAAAAAAGTCACAAATTTTAAAATGAAATAATTATTTCCAAAAGAACATGTCATTAAAATATATTTTTTTAAATATATTTTTTTGTTTTTTAATAAATATTTTCAATATTTATTGACGACTGACATGTTTTATGAGTGAATCGTTATTTTTATCGACCGAGTATTAGTATATTACGTGAGAACTGCCTTAATTTCAAAAGGTAAAGGCGCATGACGCACTATACAGCATATTATGCTATTAGAGGACTATTTACAAGATAGTAAAAAACTATTTTCTTCTACATTGCTATGATCAACAAAGTGAAGATTATAATTAATGGCGAAGTTCACGAAGATTACAGAAGAACTTTAATTCTTATAATCTACTTTTTTCTCAATATACATACATGCTAATTTAAAGTACTTTCTCGGTTAAGAGCTAATCTAATGCGTTGGCCCTGGAAGACTATACTTTTATTACTGGTTCTATTGGACTTAACGAGATCAATTGAGGCGATATGGTTGCCTTGATTTTACGATAGTACGTTTTAACGATAATGATCTAAAAGGCAACTGTACGTGATGTCACAGAAACAGGATCATTCGAGAACGTCGTATTAATTAGGCTCGTCTTATTGTTTTTCAGCACCTATATCACCTACAGACAGGCGAGGGAGCGTTCAGGGAAAGAGGAAGAGGTCGAGGGAAAGGTACTACGAGGGTGAGTAAAATATTTTCATTTATATATATTTCTTTTTGAAAATAAAATATTTTATTTACGTGAAAAAAATTGCAGTTATATGAAATTTAAAGTTTTATAAAAAATAATCCATGCATTTTAAATATCATGAGATCTATTTTTGAAGTACTAATTTTTGTCAAGTTTACCCCGACTGTTCCCAGAAAGAATGAATTATATCTAGTAAAAACTTTTGTAATTTTAAGTACCATAATATATAACAAGAGGACTGTTTCCTCATAGTGATATATATGTATCTACAAGAAAAGAGACAAAAAAGAGAATATAGTATTTCAAAATGTGCGAAAGAAAAATTTTTAATCGAGCAAAGCTCTGTGCGATCTCATTCGCGAGCTTTGAAAACAAGAGATGGTGGCGCGACGTAAAAAAAGAGATCGTCTGAGAGGGAGAAAAAGGCGAGACGGAAAGATAAAAAAGGCAATGCGCAAAGTGCGATTCCGTAAACGATGCTGTTCAGGAAACATGCTTTTAAGCGATTTTTCTTCTCTACAATCGTACTACCATATCACCTCCTCCCTTCGTCGCCCTTTTCAGAAGTCTGTTTTTATAGCGTTCCTTATTTTTACCATATATTTTTTATTATATTTTGTAAAAACACAAACAACATGAATTTATCTATATAGATACATTTACTTTTACTTTTGATTTAAACTATTTTTGAACTTTTTAAATTATTCTAATACTTGATTTTTCGATTGCATAAATTTTTCACAAATGTTATATTTTAAATAATGAAATATTATATTTTAAATATAACAAAATTACTCTTGTGTCTTCAAAATGGTGGAAATGAAAAATTTTGAATGTGCGCTATTGGATTTTGAAAAAAAAGAAAAGAAAAAAAGAATTAAAATTCTTAAAAAGAATATAATGAAAAATTTATGAGCTAACGTCGATTTGTTTCTCGTAAATCTCTTGGACGTGGCTGTACAGAGTTTGAGAACTGATATTAAGCAAGATGGTATTGATCGACGTGTAGTGCGCCTGTCTGCGCTCCACCGCCATGTTTAAAATTGTCCTGCTTAAGCCTCCTAGTGGTTAAACCTGCAACTATACTCCGGCTATCTCATTGCATTTCCTAACTAAATCTCTACGAAGCTATCAACACTTTTTTATGTTCTTGATTTAAGCATTACTATTTGATCATCTTAAATACTCTTCATTTACAGTTTATCATTAAATATATTTTCTACTTATTATTCATTGTAGTTGTATCGCCGACAGCATATATTTTAAATACGCATAGTTAATTAATATATAAAGGGTTATAAAGTGAATAAAATTTTATACGATTCAAAAGTATAATGAATATAATTCATATTTTTTTTTTTTTTTTTTATTCAATAGCTTAAAAATAATAAGGAAATAAAAATAAATAAAATATTTTTTTATCTAAGAAATATATATAAAGGAGTTTAGCGCATTCAGAATTTAACGATTTCTTTGGTTTTTTTACTGGTTGGTCTATCGATTCCTGCGAAGAAATAGTGTATATACATACATATGTACTAGTACCTATATCATTCGAACACTTTCGTGACGAAGTGTTATTTTACTTTTTTTTCTTTTCTTTTCCTTTCCTTTTTTTTTTTTTTTTTTTTTCATTTTCTTTTTTCATATATCAAGTAACAAGACATCTGCTAATCGATAAAGGTCTGTCGTGACATGTTAGTTTCTATGAAAAGTTTTTTGCCCTATTACGTATAAATATTATTTTAACATTTTGATATTCGCTGATACCATATTTGTCATTTGTCAATATAACTTATGGCCGGAAGCTTATTAAGTGGGGTTTTTTCTTATCTATAATTATATACATTAATATACTTTAGGACAGTGATATTTTTAGTGGTAACTATTACCTATGTTGAGTAAAATTATAAGAATTATACTGAAAAAATATTCACTGAAAAAATAACACACACACATGTATGTAAGAGTATTTCGAATGAACGAAAAATGGTTAAGAATACATGAGAGAATTGTCGGTTAGCAAGAGTTTTTTTGAGCGAATTATGCGATCGTTAAGGCGTTAATGACAAAATTATTATTCATTCATTTATATCAAATATAAAGGGTTAAAAGAATTTTTAATTAAGTTTAAAAATTAAAAATTCTAATAATATTTTCTGTTTTAAATCTCTGGTATAACCTATTGAATTAATTAAATGCATTAGCCCTAAGGAAAGTTATGAACATCTAATGGGAGTATCCTAAAGATATATAGTGATCTTGTTTTTTTTTCTTCTCCTTCTCTCGTTATGATATACACGTACGATCACCATGGTGTCGACGGGAGTTAAATTGCATTAGGCAGGTATAAGAGGGGGTTGAGAAGGGTGAACGACAACGGGGTGGTTGAGTAGAAACGGTAGAGGTGGGTTGGACCACGCCATCTTGAACTCGTGAACAATGTGTCGCTTTATGGGCTCCTCTGACGAAAAACGGAGATAAATCTACCGACAAATATTGATTGTTTGAATTTTAAATAAAATTATTAATATCCTTTTTCTATCTTTTTCTTGAAATTTTCCTAAAATGAAATTTTTAAATAAACGTCAATGAAATTTTTTTTTGTCTGCTGCGTTATGGTGTATTCAGAAAAGAAGAGAAAAAAGTTAAATGATTGCTTATCACAACCGATATCTATTATCGAGTAAATTTAGAGGCATTTATGTTACAAAATCTGTCTCTTCCTCTTCTTCTCTCTGCCTATCTCCCTCATTCGCGAACGATTAATGAGATTTTAATTACCAACCGATGACATCATAAATTGCGAACCATTAAGTTTCCACCCGTTATCGAAAATCCGTTCACCGTTTATCATCCTTTATAACATCGTCGAATCTCCCACCTACATACATATTTCCTATCTTTCCTATCCAAATAGTAGTAACCTATGACCTTTCTAACTATTCTCTCAAATCTCTCGTTTACATTCATCATCTTAAAGGAAAAAGAAGAAAAAGAAAATTCAAAAAAACTTAATTGAGTTTCGTTCAGGGACCGCTCCGGGGCCTTCCAGTTATCTAATCTATTGACGTATAGATAAGATAATTTCGGCGTTTTTTCATTCCGCTCACAGCGTCACCAAAGATAAATAAAGTCCCTATTTTTTTATTAATACTCATAATTTTTCTTATACATTCCAATTGTTTGAAATTTTATTATCTTTATCTGAAATCTTTATCTTTTATCTAAAATCTTTATCATCATGCCTAATATGCAATAAATACGCGCAAATACGCTAGATTCAATTCCTAGAATAATGGATAATTGTGATTCAATGTTAATACTTCTTTATGTCTGTATAAAAATTATATATGTATGCATATATCAGGATCAAAGATCATGATCGTACTCTTTTGTAATCGAAAAACTAAAATAATGCTGATAGATTTCACAATGTGAATTGTTGATGAATGAAATGTTAATTGAATTCTTAAAAAGTCCTTTCTTGGTAATGACTAGCAAATAAAAAGTACGATAGAAATTTTTTCTCTTTTTTTTTATTTTTTTTTATTTTTTTTTTTTTTTTTTATTTTTTTCTTTTTTACTTTTTCAAAGATAATCTCACTTTTCTCTAAAGACTTGCTCGAAATATTATCTACTTTGAAGAATTACTCCAAGCGATATATAGGTACATTACTTTGTAGAGGTGAACGACTAGCCACTAAAGGGTTACTCGGTTTCCTAGAAAGAGGGTTAGCACAGAGCGAATTCGAGAGCAGCTAAAAGGGTGTTATTCGCCAGTGGCAACGCGCTCGGCAACTTGTTGCAGCGACGTTAATAAACGAAGTCCCGAGGAATCATCTCGTTTGAAGGATATCCGGTTCGATCCTTTACCTCCGTATATTCCAGTCACGGAAAGCGAGCCACTTAAGAGAATGAGATAGGAAGGGAAGGTATTAGAATGGGAAGGAAAATTTTATCGTCCCTCAAGATCACGTCTTATCACTTTACATTTCATTTCTTGCTACTCAATAAAACTACTATCAGACTGGATACAAACGATATTACATATTTATTTTAAAGATAAACTATTTTGATCCTAACTTTTTCATTATTAATTGTTTACGATCAGCATGAAAATGATTTTTTTATCATTTTAATCATAAAAGAGAAATCTTATCTAAATACAATTTTTGATCGCAAAGAATGCAATCGAAAAAAATCTTGAAACCCATTGAAAGAAATATGATCGTAAAGATCCTAAGGTGTTTTCTAAAAGTGCGCTTAGAACGATTGACAACGACAACGATGACAACAACAACAACAACAACAACAACAATAACAACAACAACATTCACAAAGAAAGATTGATGCCGTCCGTAAGTATTGTCGTCGGGAACGTAAGAGTCGGAGACGGTCGACATCGATGCGTCTCTCGCGGAAACGGAAGGAGTGGGAGCATGGGTATAGGTGGATGATAGTGGGGAGAAATGACGACCGGGTAGAGGGGTATAGTAGTAGTAGGTTGAAAGCAGAGAGAAGAGAGAGGGTTTCGACCGCGTCCCTTCGAAGCTGTGGCTGGATGATGCGGGGTGAGATGGCGAGGACTATCCAAGAGGAAACGTTGCTGAGAGGGGATAGAGAAGCGCGAGTCGTTGTGTCTAGAATACCAACCTTCACTGAGGAGATGTTTACAGTGGCGCGCAAAAGTTTGCCAGCTAGTTAGGCTATTGGCTATATCATGGAAAAGAAAAGTCAAAAAAAAAAAAAAAAAAAAAAAAAAAAAACAAAAAAAATGGAGTAAATTTTTAGCTAATACATTTTTTCTCCAATTTTAATGGATAGAGAGTAGACTGTTAAAAATCTAATAGGAAGATGACGTTGTAATTTCTTTTCTTTTTTTTTTTTTTTTTTGTTTTTTTTTTTAATCGAAAACATTAATTGAAATACAGTGATTTTTGCATGCCACTGTATATATCGGAAGAAACGAAAAGCTAGGGTGTGTGTAG